CTCTTTTCAATGCATTGAATAACATAATCAACTAGCCCTAGGGTACACTAATCATTTAGATGCTCCTGCTATAGACTAAAGGGTGTTAACAGGTTTCCGAGGATAATGGCCTCTTTCACTCATTGACTTGTTGTTTTTTTGTTACCCATGAGAAATTTAGAGTTACCTTTTTATTATTGACCTTAAAGGATTAGATAGATTACTTGTTAAGTGTCCTTTAATGGAGTGTAAGGGTGTAAGAGGATTACAGTTAATTAAAGGGGCTCAACCTGTGAACTTTTCATACCCTAAAATTTAATTTCAATTATCACCTTGACAAAAATATTTTGGATGAATAATTTAATACGATTCAAACTGAAACAACTTTTGGAGTTATAAAATTTTCGCAAGCATAATTTGTACTCTTAAAAGAAATTGTCATTAGGTATTCAAAACAGGTTTTCTAGCTTTTCTTTGTATTTAAAGGACATTTTTAGCATCTATAAGCACTATTTAACTACCAACTACTACGACTACCAACAACTACCTAGTTTGCGATATCAGCATCCGCTGGAAGCAAATGTCAACTTGTCATCTACCAACCAACCAACCATCTATAAGCATCATTTGATTCTAAATTAGATAACTGTAATTGTTTCTCTAATTCCAGCCAAAACTTGAACAGCCAAATATATCGTAGATATTGCAACGCCTTAAGATTTTTAAATGAAATGAAATGAATGGAGTTTTACGTCCTACTTTTCTGCACCATGTGGGCTAATGAAGACAGGTAAGATTTTCAAGAATTACAGGAACCGCAGGAATTTAAGAATGGTATAATGGTCAATAGAAGCTATAAATGTCCCTGATATACATACGTAATAAGTCTACCAAAATCTTTTTAAAAACAATTCTTTATACATTGTTGTAGATGTAAATTTAACAAGCCACCGAAAATTTGATTTTCAAATAACTTTTTGTACTCTTTACAACCAATGAAGTCTCTTGGTATACTCACTAATAATTACTAGACTATCATTGGTATGCAAATATTTATACCGGCTTCCATTTATATATCCTTTCGGTCTTTACACAAAATGAAAACACAAGTTAGGGTAATAGCTCACTTAACCAAATATCTCTCCTGTTGGACAATATAATCTTAGTTTATAGCTAGGCTAGGTTTTAAGTGTCATTATAATTAACTCTAGCACATCAGTTTAAGTTGTGTTTTTTATACTAAATACCACATTTAGTGACAATTTATGTGTTGTTGTTATTTTGGAAATTAAATGACCCCATTTCAATTCTAGAATGGTGTAATTAAAATGGTAAATTTATCCTTTTGTTAAGTTTGAACTTTTAGTTTACGGTTTTTATTTAGTTTGTCATGACTCCTTTTTGACAGCTTATCTTTGGCCAAACCTCTTGGCATTGACCTCTCCTAAATTATCTGTACCCATTTACAGCTAGGTCACCTGGAATAATGTACACAGCTAACTTTGTGAAAGTACCAGACTTTTTAGAAGCACTTTTCTGCCACTGTATCATGGACATGATCTGTCTGTGTCAGATGAATTTAACAAATTCTTTCTTAGCTTATTAATATTTACTCATTTAAACTTAAATCCTGACTGAAAACACGTCTAATGCACTTTATTTCAAGATGGTTTAAATATTGATGAAAACAACATAACTTTGGCTTTCAGTTGCCCACGTAACTACCTTAAAGAGACAGATGTGCCATTTTTGGGGTTGATTTGATTCTTGTATTGAATACATGCAAATACTCTTCAGAAGTACTAGAAAAGTACGAAATTTGCATAATACCATCAAAAATATCTTAAACTAGGAATTTCTTTTCTATAGCTGTCTTTCCTTTTTATCCTTTTAACGCCCATAATTCTGGATACACATGGTTTTGAAAGCTAAAATTTTGACTCTGAGCTATGAAAACTATAATGGATTGGCTTAGCTAGAAAAAATCCAGTTTCTGAGGCTAAGGTACGATTGGTAAAAATAATGGTGCAACTGTCCCTTTAAATAAATTCACTGCTTGTGTATAAGTAAAAATCTTAACAAATGAAAAACATAAAACAATAAATATAATGTATGTAATGTTATCAGATGGTTGGTTATTTAAAGCTGCAGGTATTTAAAGTTAAATTAATTTTATTGAGTTATAAAACACATGAATGAAATAAATGAAGACATTTTATCTTTAGGGCAATATAATCTATTACAATTTATTATCAAGATTTCACACTGATAATTCTCTAGGCGTATTTTACATTGTGGAAAATGTGACAGAGATTGTTCTAATGAAGGCTATTATAGTTGAATCATTGGGTAATATCTGCCACATTGTGCACTGGAATGGCATCATAATCTTTGACAGTTCAACAAGGTTCAGAAAAGAAGAATAGAATTGTTGCACATTTCCTTTCATTTTAGTTTAGTGTGCTATATGTAGAAATTGCTGTATTAACAAGTATTTCAAGGACTTTTGCTGTTATGCTCCAGGATTTTTAGATGCATATAAGCACCTGATGTTAAGAATTTGACAGAAATGAATGATTTTCCCCCTAAATTTGCTCAAATTAAAAATTGGTAATTGAATATTAATATGGTTATCTAAAGGAGACAATATAGATCTTACTATTGGTAACAAGTACTATACAGGAATGTAGTTAGTACACAAACTACAAAGGCTTTAGGGGTAATTATTAGTTTTTAAGTACCTATTAACAATGTTTACCATTCATTATCAACTGTTTAAAGAGGCATTCTAATGGTTAAAAGTACAATACTGACCACCCCTTTTCTAAGTAAAGGTAACAATACTGTAGAAAATCAGAATAAAATTATTAGACTTGCAAGGCTTTTTGTGTGATACTTTCAATTGACACCCATCAAACTTTATTGAACTCTTCCACATCATGCTTTTCCAATCAATATGATTTAGTATCATAGTTGTTTTAGATGAGTTCATTGATTTCTGAGGGTTGTTTTATTTTTCCTTTTTTGTTGGTTGATTGGCTCTGTGTCTAATCTTTTTCAAGATCTGTTTCATCTGATTGCCTTTCATAAAAATGCCTTATATGCTACCTTCAATCCAAAGAGCTTGTAAAGGTATACAGAGTCTACAATATTTATTCAACCCTTGCTCTCAGTGATACAGTGGAATCATGGAAAGCCTTTCAAAAGTGAGATACTTTTGCAAAATATAATTTGCAGAAAATTTATCAGGCATAGTATCTTTAATTCAATACCTTAAATCTAAGAATGTTCATTGTACAACTATTACAGCCAAAATATATAATGTCAGAGTTAACATTGTATAGAGTTGACCAATATTTTCACATGATTAGCTGCTCATAAAATCCTTCATTTCAACTGCATTACCAGTGAGTCTATATATTATTCTATAAATAAATTATGTAGACATTTCTCTTTAAACAGTCAATAAGCTCATTCACAAGTTGGATAAAATTTCATTAGGTCAATAAATATTTATTAGAATTTCTCCAGACAACCAATTGTTTACCTTAGTAACTGAATTAGGTCAAATTTAAAAGGCAAGAGAGCCTTATTTTATTATAGAAGACCTTGATTGCAGATTTATCGGATTATATAAGGATCCTGTTATGTTATTTATGACACCAGGTATATCTACTGATGAATATATGCTCTTATTGGCCAAGTTTAAAATTCTTAAAATTTATGTTCATTCTAAGATGTAGTATCCCTTTAAAAGCACTATCAGCCCAAAGCCAAAACATTATTAAGTGACAATGACAATTTAAATGTCATTCTTCCCTAGATTCCTAAACTATCAATACTGTACTATAAATAGATATGGTGTAAGTTCTCCAGTATTTAATGTGGATGTTATATTTGACAAATATCTTCCCATCATCATCATCAGAATAGACCTTATGAAATACTTTCTACATGACCTTCACCACTTGTGATAAAGCTAGAGGAAAAAGTGTGTAGGCATTTAATTATTCATTACCTTGGTCTAACTCTGGTCATTATACGATTATTATAAGACATTACATGGTCTAGCTTGAAGCAAAGTTAAGTTAGGGCATATAGGAGTCTAAATGTTTAGTTAGCACGATTTTTGCAAATATTTTGACTATTTTTTATATGTGAGGTTTTCTTTTGATATATTGATACACTGGCATATTTTCAAAATATTTTTGAGGAAAAATTCATGAACCATTTAGCCCCGGTTCCCAAACTGGAGTATTTTCACCCCATGCAGGGTGGAGACTAGGGTGTCAGGGGTGTGGCCAACGGGTGTAGTAGAAGAATTTATTTTGAATTGAGAGAGCACCTTACATCATCACAAGCTGGAAATGTAGAAGAAACAAATTTTTTGGGGTGTGAAATGTCCAGGTGATTGCTCCAGGGGTGTAAAGACTGAAAAAGGTTGGGAACCACTTTAGATAAAGACATTAAAGCCAATTTTTTTCTCCAAATCAATTAAAACTTGTGGAATTGGAATTTCATTTTTCATAATAAAAAATAATTATGTTTAAAATTTTTTGTGAGCTATAAACATTAATGATTATGGTGTGATAGTTAAGCACAAAATTTAGTTTAATGGGAATTTCAAAGTTTGCCCCTGACATCAGCATTTGAACCTTAAAATAGCCCGTATGTAACACCTTAATCCTATCAAGTATTTGGCCCACCCATGTGATCCCCTAACAAAAGCAGGTGTAGGGTCTCTTTTTCATGCTATTATAATACAGAAGTTGTTTAGAACACGATTCTTGTATATCTTAATCCATGTATGTATTAGTTAAAAGATTTTTTATATTCATACTACAGTACCCAGTGTTTCAAACACAGTGTCAATATAATAAACACCTATTCTGTATATCACTTAACCCTTTGCACTGGTATATCTTTTAAGACAATGTCCAAAAATATGTATAAGTACCTAAATATCAAACTAAATGAATTTCTACGTGGATTATTTGATAACCATTAAAATGTATGTACTTTTATATATGAAGTATTGCAATACTTAAAATAGTACTCAATACATCAATTATACAGCGATATAGAAATACCACTGTTAAAATAGTACTCAATACATCAATTATACAGCGATATAGAAATACCACTGTTAAAATAGTACTCAATACATCAATTATAGAGCAATATAGAAATACCACTGTTAAAATAGTACTCAATACATCAATTATACAGCGATATAGAAATACCACTGTTAAAATAGTACTCAATACATCAATTATACAGCGATATAGAAATACCACTGTTAAAATAGTACTCAATACATCAATTATACAGCGATATAGAAATACCACTGTTAAAATAGTACTCAATACATCAATTATACAGCGATATAGAAATACCACTGTTAAAATAGTGCTCAATACATCAATTGTAGAGCGATAGAGAAATATTAAAACAAAACTGAATCATGTTGCTACTCAGAGCTTCACACTTTGCGATATGTTATGAAAATTATAATATGTGTATTTGGTTATTTTCACATAAATACAACATGAATTTCCAATTATTGTATGTGAATTTCATATTTTAACCTTATATAGGTTATATTGGGTCTGAAGCCAATTCATCGGTTTTTTCCAGAAGTTATTACAATTTTGCATAGACAGAGAAACGTTCTGATTTTGTATCGGACTTGGGTGCTTAAAATAAACAAAAAAAAGGCTTACTTTCATAGTCCTTGAGTTTATCCATAAGAAATTTCTTGAGAAAAGCTGTGCCTGAATGAAGGCTATCCATCAAGTATTTATTGGCAGCAGTATGGTATTTATCCACCGTGCCATTATTACAACACAGTCTTTGACCAGGATGGTGCAATCCTTTATGACAGACTGCTAAATGGGCCACTGAAATAAAAAAAAAAATGTGGTTTTAGCAAAACATATCCTGAAAAACTAAACATAATTTGTAGATCAAAAATATCTGACCTCTCATATACTAATATACAGATTTTAATGCAGTGTTTTCAGTCAAGGCTGGAACTCAAAAGCCCCTCACTGAAATATTATCAACATCACACTTGTTACAAATCTCTTCAATTCAGATACACATATACAGATTCATTCAAATTAGATGAAAACTAGCTTATATTTTGATGATGTCACTATCACAAAATCTGCTTACATTATAAAAGGCCCCTTGCGATAGTGACGTCATAAAAGTGCTTAGTTTAAGTGGAATTGCAGGAACAACAGACATCTGATTGAAAATAGGTGCAAATTAATGCCAATGTGTAAGTGTCAGCGATACAATCCCTTAAACATTGATGGGACAAAAGGAAGGTCTAATGGACAAATACAAGAGTCCAATATTTATTTATTTTTTTTTTTTTTATGGAACTACTAAAAAGGAAAAAAAACGTTAATATGAAAGGCTCTGTGTCTGTTATTGACTTTTATTGAGAGTAATTAAAAGAAGTAATTAATAATAAAGTTATTATAGTGCTAGTTAATTAATAATATGATTGATTACAGATATTAAATATTGACATTGATCTATTGGTTAAGAGTAGACTGATAGACAGAGAGGCGTGTCTTCATCAAGATGGCAATGCTTAGGGGGGTTCCTTAGTGGTTTTTCAGGAAAATTTGATAAGGCAAATTGAGCAAATAGAACTAAAAGTTGGAATAGACAACGTACAGTGTACATAGCCCCTTTACTAGCAATGAATTGGTGCTGGGGCTCAGGTTCTGTACTCAAAAACTTTGATGTGTATGTTTGCGACTAATGAAAGTGGCCATGAAGTCTGAATGCAAATCACAACTCAGTTGCATGAGAGTTGAGTTCGAAGTTTCTTATTTGAAACCATACACAACTGGTAATCACTATGGCTTTAGGACACCTTTATATCTAAAGAATAGATAGTTATGGACAGGTATTATTTGTAAAAAATGTCCATTTTAAAAATTCTGATAGTATCCTGTCCAAAATCATGAAAAAAATATGCCTTCCAAATAAGGTTTTACATAATGGTACCGGAAATTTCTTTTGGCAATATTAAAAGGAAATCTATTCAATGACAATAACAAAGGTCAAACAGGAAATATTTTGGAAGATACTTTCACATATGAAATGATTCAAGTTGATTTATAAATACTTATATACTTCAATTTCTATTCCCCAAAATACTTGAGAAATGCTTACAAGAAAAATGACACAATACACTCCTTCTATAAATAGGTCAGATAAGCCTGAAAAGCTGTTGTCTGAGCAAAATCAAAAGTTCTTAAAATTTTGTCCATTAATTTTTAAGAGAATTGGAATAGCAGCCTTAAAATAGTACTATTAGTCTTAGAATGTCTTTTGCATTGATAAAAATATAAACATAAGCATAACATTATGTCTTCAAAATTTGTTTTTACAGAGGAGAATTTCAGTCATTTGAATGAATAATTGAGAGAAAGAATGATGAAATCTTCATGGATGAATGAATGAGGGAATAAGATAGTGAGGAAATGAATGAATGAAAGGTAAATTGATGGATAATGAATGAATGAAAGTGTTATGTTTAATCTGTATATAACACCTAGAGATTATATACAATAGATTTTAACACATTGAGATATGGCTATAATTAATGAGTAACATGCCGTGTTAAAGTAATGAGAATTTACTGTGAATCTTTCAAAAGAGAGAAGGTTATAATATATCTGATTGTGCATGATATAATGTTTAGATGAAAATACCCGTAATAAAAGGTTGCATTATTGTCTGAGCATAGTAAAAAGTTTCTTGAATTTTTCCCTTTATTTTTATGACAATTGGAATAGCAGCCTCAAAATATTACTGTTAGTCTTGGAATATCTTTCCGTTGATAAAAATATAAACATAAGCACACATAATGTCTTCAAAATTTGTTTAAACAGAGGACAATTTTCAGCCAAAAAATTTGTGACTTTTTAGGGTTGAAATTTCTAAGAGGGAAACGTGTTTCTTTTCAATGGAAACTTGGAAATTATGTTTCTATCAACACTAGCAGTACTATTTTGAGGCTGCTAATACAATTCTCTTAAAAAAAATCAAAAAAATTCAAAAACGTTTTGATTTGCTCAGACAATAGGTTATTGACTTCAGTTAAACTCATCCTATATACCGTAACACTTGATGCCACTCTGCAATTGGGCTTGAGAACTTGACATCTTTCGAAAGAATTTCATATGATTTGCTTAAAATTACATTTTCAAGTTTATCCTTTTCATAATGACAATAGAGGAAAATTCTTTAATGTTCAAGTCAATTGTAACATGTTACTGTTTAAACAACCAAAAAAACCCATAAAAATTCAGTTTGTAAATTGCTAAAATTCAAAATGTATTAATTATCAGATACAACTAGCTAATACAAATCTGTGTCACTTATAAGAATGAAACAATGTCTTCAGGTTTGATTGCGTTTTATCAATTCATTGTCATTATAGATCACAATGTTTTTAATGTGCGTTAAAAAAAAATTTCCAAGAAAAATACATCTTACAAAAAAAGTCAAATATAAAAAAATGAAAACAAAATCAGCAAAATCAGGAAACTTGATTAAATAGTAAATTCAATTTTTAAGCAATATTAAGTCAATATGCATAGTAGCTGTGAAATATCACTCATATTAACTAGTTATTTATAGTAATATCAATACATTTTCATATAATACTTGTAGTTGTTAATTGCAATGCTTCCTTTTATGTATACTTTTGAATTTAATTTCATATTTACTTTATCAGTCATATTAACTGGTTTATGAGGGCAATATCAGTAATAATACACAGTGTTTCACAGAGTGTATAACAGTAAGCAATATTGACTATTATAATGCCTTGAAAAGGATACCATCCCAGCTTTTTGACTCACTGACTCTTTTGGTATGTAATTGTAATACATTAGACAATATTGTTTTAAATCTGTGAAATATCACTCATATTAACTGGTTTATGAGGGCAATATCAGTAATAATACACAGTATGTAATACAATGTGTTATAGGCTACTGGGACAAATAATACAGTAGATAGTATTAATAGTAAGAGGTATCCAATACTAATAACTACATCTACCAACACTTCTGGATATTAAAATTATTGAGCAACATTGCATGTAAATATAATCAATTTGTAATTCTTTTGGTCTTAAATTTGAAACCTTTTTTGAAAGAAAATGCCAGCCAATAGGCCAAAGAACACTTCCCCTTCGTATGTGGATAGCAAAATCTGTAAAATACCTACCATGGACTGGCAAATCCGGCACCAAACTCTTATCACCAATGTTTAGTTCTTGAAATTCTTTTTGAACATTTTTACAAGTATGTTGTTGTTTATAGTGGTAGCTATTTGAAGAGAAAACACCACAGTAAAAAGTACACATAAACACGAAAACAAAAGATATATTCCAATTGAGAAGGGCGCCCATTATGGCCACATTAAGATAAGAATTCAAATCCTAGCAAAATATACTCCTAAAAAATGTTGTTGTTCGACAACTTAACACGTTAAAATTCCAGTTACTGGTTTAAAAACGTCCATGTGTGTGAAATTGGTGTAGTTATCGGCTGGTTTGCCGTAGCTGAATGAGTCAATGCAAGTTTTCCGCAGTGTTCAACAATGACGTCTTCTCATTGGTTTATAATCACACCTGTCTACTGTACGACTGTATGGAGGGCAGTTGAGGCAAAAATCAATTTTTTCTCTAGCAGACGACGCATTACAACTTGTCTTCATTGATAAAGCAAATAAACAGTACCGGTAGCCAATCTTTCGCCAATCCCGATTATTGAATCAACGATAAGCCCACTTAATTATTAGATAATTACATTGGAAAATCGTAAATAAGAATTAAGGAAATAAATAGGCCTATAGGCTAGGCTTCAATACTTTTTTTTACTAACAAAGCATGACAGATTCTTGCAGATTTTGAACTTTATTACAGAGGCCCAGTACCGTATAATATTTTTATGCCATATTTGGGAAATATTCTATAATAATAGTCAAAAATGTCCCAGTAGATCAATAGGTCTTTAATTTAGTTTTTTAAAAGAAAATTGGTGAAGGAATAGGCTAAGTAGAATCGGGCCTGAGCTTATTTATCGGTAGGGAAAAATTTCATTTCATGTTTTTCGTACAAAATCATGTAATAACCCCAAAAATATTTTGTTATTTTGTCACAAGCTTTGATCTTGAACCTGGAACAAAACGTTTGATGGAATCGCGGTTTCCATAATCGGCTGTGTTTGCAAGTTTTAAACCACTACGAGTTATGTCCCATGAAATAAGAAGTTCACAGTTTTTGCAGACAGGCTAAAATTTATTCAGGTGCGATCAAAGGGACGTAACTACTGATTGTTAATGAAATACGTAGGCTACAGACTACAATAAAGTAGTGATATTTTTGCTTCATCTGAAACGATTTTAAAATAATTTTCTAGAAAGTATGCGTTTGAATTAGTGCCTAGAATGCGGTTCGATAAAGATACAAAATAAGTGTACAATGAGGGAAATTAGGTCTAGATAACAGATCCAAAACAGAATGTTTTCCAGTCTCTCACTCTGCAAGAGTTATAGGAAAAACTGGCTAGAAAATCATTATTAGCAAGCAATCTTGCCTTCGCCCATTCCAATCAGAGAGAAACATGCTAAATTCATTTTGTGGCCTGCCTTTTTGATCTCACAATGTAAGCTCACGCCATACAGTGTACAATAAGGGCGACCAAATTCCTCACCAATTTCGTATGCTCATTTAATATATTATTTTCCGCACTGATAGTTTAACTAATGAGCGGAAGCCCAATCATTAATTAGAATTCAGTACATCTCGTGATCATACTGGTAATAATTCTACTTGTTCCAATTTCATTTCAAGTGACGGACCAAACTAAACAATTTTGCCACAATATTTGCTTTGGCTTTAATCTTGATGAAATATTCCAGTTCGGTTAAAACAGGTAAGCATATTTCAATGCATTGGCATAAACATTTTTGAAAAAGAAATGGACCTGCGTTTAACGATTTAGCTTTACATGTAGTTGCATAGCGGGTAATTTTTCACCACTTGCGACATAATTTTTAAAGAAACCAATTCTGAGAGACCAGAAAAGATTAGTCCGGGCAAATTTACGATGGCAAAATAGGTTAATACAGAAATTCCAAACTAAGTTGGTTCTATTCGTCTTATTTTCTGAGGCTAACGAAGGTCATAGGCCTATATTGGGGTTTTAGGCCTAGATATAGAAAAGTCTATATTTTAGATAGCTATAAAGAATCCTATAGTCTTGAGCTATATAACTCTATACTATGACTAGGCCTAATGTAGGCCTATTTTGCTTAATTTTTAAATTAATAATCTGAATAATTCTTTAATGATTCATGTTTGGCTATTTGTTTAATAAATGTTTCAAGAATTATTTTGAACAGAGTTTTGATTATTTGGTTATGGATAGGATACAACCATAGATGTATATCCAAAACCATTTTTTTTACGCTAAGAATCATCAAACTTTACGCGACACTAACTTGACCGGAAATGTGTATCGGAAAACGGAAGTAGAATCTTTGTTGTTTACATTGTTAAAAAAAATCTTTTTTTACGCAGCTCACTTGATGTTTTCAACATTTCTTTGAATTGGTAGGATAACATAATTCTAGAAACTGTCGTCATGTTTTGAAACAGTTTTCATAATGGTTAGAAATTGCAGGCGTATTAAAATTGACGGTGTCGTCCCAGCAGGTCATTCTATTTTAAATTTGAGTCATGTGATTGTTGTTTACAAAGCTGTCAGTTTAAAGTTGTCTAGGCTGCCTTTTGTTGTTGATAATTTTAGCTGTTAACCTCTGTAGCCGTAAGGCTATCATTTTTTGTCTGTCTATCTGTTTTTGAAAGGATTGTTCATGTTATTACTTATGATACTGTGGTACTTGAAGGGGTTATTGAAATTTTACGTTAGGCAGGACCTTCTCTTAACTTAAAAAGATCCAGACACAGTAATCTTTTTTTTTAAAGCTTTCTTTTCAAGTTATAGAAATTGGGTTTACCAAATAGACACTTTAAAGCTTAATGGATATAAAGATATTAATCTTTTCCTTGTCAATAAACCTAAATTGCTGCAATACATTTCCTTGATGAAAATTGAAAATGTTGATTTCAGCTTAAACCTATTTTGATGCAATTTATGTATGTACTGGAATGTAATGTTTTGAAAATTATTTTCATCTTATTTCAGGATTCTGTAAGACTGAATGCCATCTGAATCTGTAGAACATCTTTAAGTCTGAGATGGAAACTAGAAGATAATAGAATAAAGATCTGGTGTTAGTAGTTGTGTCAAATTTAAATCATTCCATTAAAATTTTCACAATGAGGAGAGGAGGCTATGAAGAAGCCAATGAGATTGAGAGACCACTATTCGGGGAGCCGCGCAGGGCAGATCGTGTTTTAAATCTGGTGGTTGGAACATTTACCTCTATCGTGGTGTTGGTGACTCTAGTGAGTGCCTTTGCTTTTCCAAAATGGCCACCCAATGGAATCAACATATTTTTTGCCCTTATAATTGTTTTCATTTGTGGTTCCCACTTGTTGTTGATATATTGGTACCGACAAGGAGAACTGGAACCAAGGTTTCGGTCCATGATCTACTATAATGCTTTCACTATTATATTATTATGTATCTGTGGAAATTTGTATATTCATAATGTAGGGTAAAAAAATTCTGTGTTTTCCACTCAGCATTATTATTAGCCACAAAATACTTGTATGTAGGACTAGGTCTAGGGTCAATCTGACTAAAGTATAGAACTTGATGTTTCATTTCGTGATAATATTTGGTGGACTCCAAATGAAACAAATCACCAAGATCTGCATTTTAAAGATGGGTTCCCTTATTTTCATTCATGAAAATGCTGATGCTTATATGAATAAAAAGGAGAGGTGTTCTAATGACTTTTTTTTTGTTTATCCAGACTGTACATACATGGACATTTATGATTATTTAAAACTCTTAATTATATGCAATAAGAACATAACGATTTGATTAAGAATACATGATAATTCATTAGAAACACCAATTAATCAAATAGTTTTCTTTTAAAATTTGACACTAAAATGAAGAAACCCAACTTTAAAGAAAAGTTATGTTTTCTAGTATTTGTAAATACCAAAATATTCTTTTTTTGTGTTATAGTTATTATGAAGTTTATATCAAGCAAGCTTACCTTTATTTGTCATGTTCATTTTTATCTCAAGTAGATTTGGAAACTGATATTGTTTTGTATTTTGCACATTATACCTTTTTAGGTAGGCTTTTCATTTTCGTAAATTGTAAATAAATTTCTTTGTATTTATTATAAAAGGATTATAGAACTCTATTAATAAGGCTCACTAAAAAATAACTCTACTTCCATTTAATTTCTCTTCAAGGTTTGGGTTGCCAAATAATGAGATATATGTTCATTCTTGCTTCTCTCTTGTATCTCTCTTATACAGGCTGTGAACGTTAAAGATCCCTCGATAGTTGGAAATCGAAAAAAAGAGCAGGCTAATGCCACTGTCCTGTCAAAATTTCCCCCATTGCATCCTGCATGGCCTGTCTTAATTCCCACAGGGTGCAGAAAAGTAGGACATAAAACTCCATTCATTTCATTTCATTTTTTTGCATCTCTCTAAGAAGGGAAACAAAATGGTGAAAATTGCCCACACCTGCCTACAAGAGTTAGTATTATAGATTAAGAATTTCAGATTCTGATTTATCGGAATTTATTAGGCAGGGTTTCCACTGAGTTGAATCACAGGGATCAATTTTAGTCAATATTTTTGATGAAGTGTTATTCTAAATGTATCTCTTTTTCCAAGTTAACTAGTTGAATAGATTAAATTGAGCTCTACAAGCTTTCAGAACAAATATCAAGGCTTTTATTATAACTGAAAACTAAAAATCTGAAGAATACAGTTGTCTTCATGTATTGTTCTACTAGCATGACATCATCAGTTAAAGGGACATTGTGCTTTTTTTGTAGGTCGAAAAAAATTTTGCTTAAATTTGTGAAAACTATTAACCCAAATCCATAGAAATGTATCCTGTAATGTATCTGAAAGTTTTAACTAAAAAGTACAGCTGTTAATTTTTTAACTCCAAAACTTTATGTAAAAGGTTTGTTACCTTTAATAGTTTGTTATGCTTTTTACAAGCTGTTAAAAAATGTGTATGATAATGAAAATGTTTTAAAAAAAAAACAGAATGCCACTTTAAACTGAATGTTTTGAAAATTGAAGATTGAGAACAAAAACATGCCACTTTGAGTTGAAATGTCTTCAATTTGTTTTTCATGAAAATGAGAAATTGTACTCAAATATTGAGAATTGAGACCTACTATATGTACATGACAATTTGTTATAGAGCTTGCTATGTTAGATATAAATGTAAATTTATTTTCATGTCTATGACAGGATATGCTATTTAGTTAATGTGGATTATGAATGCAGTTTAGGAAAATAAATGTTATGGAAAATTTTAGACTATTGTGTCATTTTTTACCGCTATACGTGGCTTTCACTCTTTGAAAATTGAACCCTCGTATAACAATTTGAGTACTCCTACCTATTCAACCAATAACTTGTATAATAGTACAGTATATGAGGTTTTTCATTTTCATCCCAGAAAAAGGAACATTGAACCTCGTATAATAATATAACATTTATATACGTGTTATTTAATTGGTGGTTTTGAGGTTATTTACAAGCTAAGAAGGTTTTGATCATAAGATCCTCGCTTTTACAAGCTTTCGAACATACCAAAAAGTCAAAATATGGCATATACATGTACAAGGTTTCAAGCAGTCACCCAGGATATTTTATGATAGGGGAGAAGAGTTATTGGTGCTAATCTTGGCACTATTCCAAACATAACACCCCCTAAATATATCACTGTTACTGTTTGAATATGTGCAAATTTCTAAGCTCTACCTGAAAAATATTGACTTACATATTTAATAACATCTATTTATAGTAGAAGTTGTGATAACTCCCACTTCTTTTAAAGGGGTCATTTAATTCAAATAATATGATTATGAGTATGTTTTTGCCCTAAAATATTTAGGGCTTATAATATACTTTCTTGATATCTCAAAGGTGTATGAGCCATGTTAAAAGTATAACCCTTGATCCAATAGACTTGTGGGTTTGGTTTAGGCCTTGGCCTGACATTTGATGGCAACCAGTAGGCCCTAATGAGATTACTTTTTTCAATTCCACTATGGAGTGAACACCCCTACCCACCCCTACATACATACACTAAAAAAAGGCCCTAGGTCTTCACAATGCTAAAGACTATAAGGGGGTTTCCCTTTACATTAACACAATTTGAAAAGAGTCGCGTCCCTTCCTTGGATGATACTACTATATCACAGGGTTGATAAGGTTGCCAGTGGTTTCAAAACTGTGTACGTATAGTATAATACCCATATTACAAATGGTATAGTCTGAAAACAGGTAGAAGGAAATGACGTCAAAATGAAGGAAAATCCCAATAATAGTAAACAAGCAAGATTTTTATAAATTGTGAAAACATGGATGAATTTGTCTTCAAATACTGAATCTGTGACTTGTCAAATGTGGACGTAAGTGTAATTTTAGTAACACCAATAGGCCTTCATTATCACGATTAACTTTAATCTTGTTTATTATTTAGCAAAATTAGATGACGTCTGAAGGGTGCAAATAGGAATAGACTTTCTTTAAGGGATTGTAATGAGGTTTGATAATTTGGTATCTGTATCGGGGACACTGATAACATCTTTACATTCCCTTTAATTGCAGGTGACAACTGTCGGGGTTGAGATTCCTAAGAGGATGGGGGTTGGGGGTATAAAGGGGCAAATGCCCCCATTCGATTGGCACTGCCACTTTTCCAAATCGGATTACATATTGGCACAGTTTTAATGGAATATCTATTTATGAGAAAAGGGAGATAACATTTCACAAATCTGGTTTGCATTTATACAAAAATCAAACCACAACAATTTTTGCATCTTTTTTGAATCCTTATATCCACGAAAATAGGTTACACCACTGTATATGAACTATTTTATTGATTTAGAAGTAGAGGAATAACAAGTCCAATTATGAAAATACAACTCAACATTATGAAAATCGTGAAGATTTCAGTAGAAACAGTCATGATCGTTATTTGTGAGAAGATAGTAAAGGTCAATCAGGTAAGGGAAACTCCAAAGTTTTAACAGAATTGATTTATCAAGAGAAATAACAAAGTTATAATTGATAGTATAGTAATTCTTAGACTACATATACAATAATTATGCTTGCCCTCATATTATATCCTGTACATAGCCTTATTGAAGCAGGAAATGAAATGAATGGAGTTTTACGTCCTACTTTTCTGCACCGTGTGGGCTAATGAAGACAGGCAACGCCAGGCAGGGTACAAAGAGGGAAATTTTGTCAGGACATCGGCATTAGCCTGCTCTTTTTCGATTTTCAATTGTCGAGGGATCTTTAACGTGCACAGTCTGTAGCACACAGGGCCTCGGTTTATTGTTCCATCCGAACGACTAGACGCTTTTTCCATGCCAGCCCCTCTTACCTACATCACTGACAGGGAGAAAATATTGAAAGTTGAAAATTCCGTAGGACCTATGCCGGGATTGAACCCTGGAGCTAGCGTATAGCTCACTGAGCTACCGCGGCTCACATTGAAGCTGGAGGCACAGTTTACAAATTGCTTGTATATTAATATGTTTGCATACATCGATGTTATACAATGATTATAACGTCATAAGTGGTAGTTATGACCAAAAACCGTTTTTTTTCTTCAACATTGTGTATAGATGATTTTAATGCGCTACACTCATTTTGAAGCCTCTACCTTTAATATTAATATTATAGTTCTTTGACGACGACATTTTGAACAGGGTAGGCTCCGGGTATATGACAAACCAAAATTAAAATTTGGATCAGTTGATACAATCCGTGTTTGTCCCGTCCGAACGGTAGGTGCTTTTCCGTGACATACCCACAGAGATGTATAACTAGCGAGGGAAATAGGGCTGAAAAATACAAAGGTTTCATCACCATGATCACTAAATGTATGGTTAAAAGAAAAAGGGTTTCGTTACAACACCAAGGTTATTTATGCATGTTTAGAATTGACACTGGGATAGGTCAGAGTCTACTTATGATATCATTTGGGAATCCTTCATTCAGGCTTAATCAGCTTTACTGTTATCTTTTACTCTACTCAATTAGCCTTGGACTAATTATCATGAAAACAGTACAACTCTTTCGGGCTCTCTGTGAGTAGAATTTTTAATAGGACCTATTAACACGTTCAGTTAGTTCGCTTACTTCGTCTATGCCTTTGCTTACACGCAAGTTTAATACTGGAAAGCTGCCACCAATTACCTACCATCTTACCTGATGGTGGTTTAATATCTGAAACATGTGTCAACATCATGAGATGTCAGCTTCTAAATTTAACGTCATGCTCTGGTCCAGTGGCCATACAAAGTATCTCTTCGAATATATAATCTCATTCGATACGAGCAAAAGACACAAATCGGTCCACTACTAGCAGCTGTTTGTTGCAATGGTCGCAGATTCCCCCGATTTTACTTTTACTAATATGTACACGGTTGTCGCCAAACGCTGGAAAAAGGCTTTTTAATTTACAAATTCTTCAACAGTCGCTATCAACCTGCGATATTTGCGATCATATCGCGTTCCCAAGGTGAGTTTAAAATCTATTGGCCTCTTGTTCTTTTTTTGTGTTTATGGAGATGATACAATGCTTGTCCAAAGACATTCATGATTCCGTGGTGATCTAAACGGCGATCTATTGATGTCAATGGCGCCTATCTGACGCTTCCTTCACCTAATACCATACTTATGGCAACCTTAGGGAGCTCTCGAGCTAATTTTCATTCGCCGTATATAGATTAGTAATGACACCTTTCCGGTGTGATTGAGGCCATTAAGTATAAGATGTTATTATAATATCAATTATTATTGTATTAAACTTGTAGATGATAATATATATAAAGGTT